ACATACATACATACATATATATATATATATATATATATATATACATACATACATACATATATATATATATATATATATATATATATTGTTCTTCATTCACAGAAACACTGACCAGCTGGCTGCTGATCAGTCTGGCCAGACTCTCGTCGTCTTGGCGCCTCCTCGTCTCCTCCTGCAGCAGCTCCTCCTCCTCAGCCAACAGACTCTGGATGAACTCCTCACTGGCTCTCCTCTCCTCCTCGTCCAGTACTCGCTTCTCCTCCGTCAGCTGACAACAACAACAAGGACCTGAACCAACTGAATGACATGTTCTGAGCAGGATCAGAATACAATTTAACACAATTAGTGTCCGATCACCTGAAACTAAGAGTCGTTGTGTTTTCATGAGGTCAGAATGAGTCCTTCATATTTATGGTTTCTACAGGAGCCCGGAAGGGACAAACCAAACACCGACTCCAGAGAGACTTTCATGTTTTTACGTTATCTGAAGGTCGGGATAGGAACTGAAACCTGGTATTAATATCGCACTGGAAACTTATCTAGAATGTCAAATATTAACTTTATTAAGCGACTTTGCTGTTGTAAACATTACTGCTGCTGTAGAAACTATATTTAGTTATGTTCAAAATATAAATAAACTCTAATCCTGTTTTGAATTGATTTTAAATGATCCCTGTTCTTAAAAACATGTATTTAGAGCAGGGGTCTCAAACTCATCTTCACTCTGGGCCACATCAGCATCACAGTCGCCCACAAAGGCCCGGTTGTAAATGTAAGACTGTGTAAATGTAACTACTCCTAACATATTGGTAAATAACTGTCTCTGCATTTGATTATTGTTTATTCAAGTGTTAAAATATTGTACATGCAGTTATATAAATGTAGAAATATATTTAAGCACATATCTGTTATAACTTAAATCCTTTTCATTTATCGTTAAGAAACCCACATTACTCTATCAAAGATCAAACTATTAAAGAAAATAGCAAAGACAAATATCAAACACAAGTTATTACAATAACTGTTCAAAGCTTAAAATCCTTTCAAGGGTGCGTTTGCACAATCCCACGTGAAGTATTTCACGTGTTGTAAAGTCACGTTTAGTCTTCAATGTACTCACAATACATTTCCATGTCACATGTAGGGTAACCAGCCAAAGAGCTGCTTCTATGACTGTGTGTTTAAATATCTCATAACTTCGACTTTCTATCTCATAACTTCGACTATGGGGATATTTTTATTACCAAGTCTAACTTTTAATTATTTTTTTAACTTTTTTTTTTTTTTTGCTGGCGGATTCACGAGCCACATAAAATGACGTGGCGGGCCGCATTCGGCCCGCGGGCCTTGAGTTTGAGACCCCTGATTTAGAGTATTGATAAGAGTAGCTTCTAGTAAAGATACTCATCTCTACCGGTAGCACTCAAACACAAAGATCTCTAAATCTTACACACTGTTCCTTTGAATACAATGAAAACACACAATCTTGAAATCTATTTAGAAATGTATAAAAACTACCAGAACTTAAAGTCTGTAATGATTAAATACTTTATTAAAAGGGACAGTTAGTCCCATAAAAATGTGTGTAAATCAACCTATCACTCAATAACACTCACTTATTATAGTAATAATCATAATTATTATTATGACAACATAATTATAATAAATAATAATTATTATAGAATAAACTTACTTTGGTGACCTGATCCTCATATTCCTGCTTCAGCTCTCCAGGCTGACTCACTCTGGGAAAACACACCGAGACTACACACACACACACACACACACACACACACACACACACACACACACACACACACACACACACACACACACTTTCCAGTGTTTCTGCAGCTACTTGTTGAATTCAGAGATTCTATTGTTTCTACAGAGTTTTCCTGTATTTTCATCTCATTTCACAATAACAATACATTTTATTTGTATTACTGTAACAAGGTACTCAAAGGCCCTTTTAAAAACAAACAATAAAAAAAAATAAAAATAAAAAAAATAAACAAAAACATACATAACTAACTTCACTGGTTAAAAGTTGATTTAAACAGACGAGGTTTTAGGGTTGGAGAATGTCTGAGGAGCTGGAGGAGAGAGATCCAGAGGGAGGGGACCCTGACCCCCTCCCTCTGGATCCCTTCAGGAGGTTGGAGTCTGGGAGGTTGGATCTGAGGTTGCGGGGGGAGCGTGTCGATGCAGGAGGTCAAAAAGGTAGGAGGAGGTTTAGGGTTGTGAAGGGCTTTACGTGTTTGCATGTTTAACAATGTGTGCATGTTTAACAATGTTTGCATGTTTAACAATGTGTGCATGTTTAACAATGTGTGCATGTTTAACAATGTTTGCATGTTTAACAATGTGTGCATGTTAAACAATGTTTATATGCTTGCTGCTTCTTGCAAGTCAGATTGTTATTAGAACACAACAAACATACAACTCTCCTCTCCCCAATAATATAAAGAATAAATGAACACAACCAGCTTCATGATATCACTTATTATGAGGATCATCAGCAGTATTATGGGATGTCTGTGTGTGTTGGTACCTCCTGGCTCCTCCTCAGCGGCGTCCTGCCCGTTGAGGCGGCGCTGACACTGCAGAGGGAAGCAGGTCTGGATCTGGTCCCACAGCTGCTGGTCCACCAGCGTGTTCTTCCTGCTGTTCAGACGAGCCCAGGTGGAAACTCTCTTCCTGCACAGCGGACAGCACAGTGTGGCTTTATCCACCGACTCCAGGAAGCACACCTGTAAACACATATAATAATATATTTAATACTATAGTATAATAAATAGTATTTACACAGCTGCAATGCTGTGTGGGGTCTCCTGGTGGTGATCAGATGTTGTTTTACAGTACAAATCACACTCTCCCCAGACAGGGTGCATAATAGACAAAAAAAACTTAGTACGTAACGGATTCCTTTACTGGAACTTTGTAGTCTCCTCCTACCAGCTGAACCCAGGACACTTCTTTAGTTCTGCATTTGACCCAAAGAGTATGGAACTTATGATCTGCTAACCAGACGCTAACTAAACTACTTCTAACTGATCCTGATGGAGACTTTTAGAGCTGAATCTTCTGCGTAAAGGAATGGATTGTAATCATAAGCTGACTTCATGTCATTGACAAAACAGGAAGTAAAGTGGCCCTTAAATGTTTCCCTGTGGGACCCCCCCACATTTAGTGGTAGTGGTGTGGACATTGTTCTCTGATCACTGTAGATGATAACAGGCAGAGCCCAGTTCCCTGAGATTTGTGATGCGACTGGCTGGCCTGCACTACCACACAGGCAGAACTCCTCCTCAACCCCTGCACTCAGCCGGACAAAGCCAAGGACAGCTGAGAAAAGTAGAACCAGCAAAAAGAACAACAACCAAGCCTACAACTTCAAAACAGATTTGCTCCATTGTCGCAGGATCCTAAATCTCCATCTGATGGCCTGGACAAGCAGCTATCTTCTCAAAGCAGGGCAAGTACTGAGAGTAAATGTGAGAGTAAAAGGCCGCAGGGAAAGCTAATGACTGGGCCTGAGACTCTGGTTGTTGGTGACTATGCTGTCAGATGTCAGAACACTGTACAGCAAGAATACCGAAATACTCTGCTTTCCGAAAGATATGGTCTCGAACATGAGACAAAATCCTGGACATCGTGGCTGACTATCCCACAGTGAAGAACATCATGGTGAATACAGAAGGTGTGATATTGTGAAACAACAGTCTGAAGTTCTGAAGCGAGACTTTATTGATCTGTTAAACACAGTCAGCTCTGTCAAGGCTGAGGTGTTTATCAGTGGTCCTCTTCCACCAGTCAGAGGAGGAGATGAAGGATTCAGCAGGCTGTTTGCACTGAACAAATGGCTGTCAACTGCATGTACTGACATTCAGTACATTTTATCAACAATTTCTACCTTTTCTGGGAGAGCAGACATCTTTTTAAGGTACATGGAGTTTGCCTGAACAAGTCGGGGGTGAAACTGTTTACCTCCAACCTATTTTTCTTCCTGCGTCAACCGTCTGTTGCTACTGCCAAGGACAAGACACAAGAGGAGTCTAAACAAGAGGTAACCACACAGCATCGCCATGAAGACCTTACGGGAAGGATGCCCCCAACTAAGGAGATCCACGAGGAAGAGTCTCCAACCTCACCATCAGGGGCCGCCTCTGATCTCCCACTTTCTCCCCCCCTCCAAGAGAAGGATTCTTTACCTCCCTCACCAGCACCCACTTCCACCCCCCAGACTCCATCCAGGTCCCCCTCCTCTCTACTCACACTCTCCCCATCCTCCCCCCACCTGGAGTTCACTGACCACATGAAAGCGCTGGTCATTGCTGGACCCAAACTCGCTCTCCACACTCACATTTTGTCTCCTATAATCTCTCCTTAACGTACAGCCCCACCTCCACCACTGGCTCTAAATCTTCAGCCAGTTTTGACACAATCGGTGAAGTTAGAGCGCCCGGCCCCTCCCCCACTTCCACCACGGCTCCACAACCATAAAGGCAATAATTGATATCTTCTGGGTCCAGGCTACAAGGCTAATGACACCAATGACTCTCTCCAGGAGAAGTCGGGGCCCTGTATGCAGCGAGCCTTCTCAACTCCTGTCCTAATAGTTTATAGAAAAAGAAATGTGAGGCTGCGAAGAAACAATAGTAAACCTGCAAACTTATCAAACTTAACATACATTCCTCGTCAGCCTGTCCAAATAAATTGGGCAAATAAAGCTTTAAACACGTTAAACTTAGCTTTATTAAATGTCAGGAAAAACATTTTTAATCAATGATTTTATTGTTAGGCACAAACTGGACTTTTTGTTTTTAACTGAAACATGGTTAAACCATGCAGCTGTTCTTAATAATAATAATAATAATAATAATGCATTTTATTTGCAATGCACTTTTCATTCGGAAAATCTCAGAGTGCCACAGAGCCAGTACATAGTAAAAACAAACTATAATAAAAATAACTAGTAAACATAAGCATAATAAAGAAATTTTAATTAAAAAATGATTGAATCAACACCTCACAACTTCAGTTTCATGAGTGAAACAAGAGCGCATAAGAAAGGAGGTGGAGCTGCTATTTTATTTAATGATTCTCTTCGTAAAGCAGATGTCCTTTGGTCATTTTAGTTATTTTGAATATGTGGCTCTGAACTCCACTCAAGCTTTATTCCTTAACATTTACAGACCACCTAAATACTGTGCAACCTTCTTTGATGAGTTTACTGAACTGCTGTCTATAATCTGTATTGATTTTGACTGTGTTGTTATTATTGGTGATTTTAATATCCATGTTGATAATCCCCATTTGATCTCACTCAGCATGTGACAGGATCCACCCCCAACAGGGGGCACACTCTGGACCTAATCATCACCAAACGTGTAAACATTTCCAAGGTTGCTGTGACTGATGTTGCACTCTCTGATCATTTCTGTGTTTTCTTTGAGAGTGCAATCTCCTTGCACACAAATGTCTAAACCGAGGTTGTGACGAAGCGTTACATCTCTGAAAACACCAGTGAACTATTTATTCAGAAGTTCTCCTCCACACCAGCCGTCTCTTGTATCTCAGTCAGTGAGCTTATAGATGGCTTCAATTCTAAAGTTAGAAATATTATTGATGCCATTGCACCCACTAAAGTGAAGGTTGTCTCGGGTAAGCAAAGATCTCCTTGGAGAAATGCCACGCTGGTCAGAATAGAGAAACGAGAGTCGGAAAGCTGAGCGCAGGTTGTGAAAAACAAATCTCCAGATTCACTGTGACATCTATAAAGAGAGACTTTCCAATTATAATTTGGAAATGCAAGGCAGTCCTTCTTCTCTGACATCATAACCAAAAACAATAACAATACACGCGCCTTATTGGCTACCGTCGACAGGCTAACAAACCCTCCAGTGTCAGTAGCTGCTGAGCTCCAATCCACCTGGGCATGCAATTACATTACATTACAGTCATTTAGCAGACACTTTTAATCAAAGCGACTTACAATTCAGATTCTATCACATTTCTACACTGTAGGCTCAGCTACGGGAGCAGTTGTGGGGTTAAGTGTCTTGCTCAAGGACACATCGACATGCGACTCGCAGAGCCGGGGATCGAACCTTCGATCCCCTGATTGAAGGACAGCCCTGCTCTCCACTTAGCCACAGTTGCAATCTATTTACCTCCTTTTTTACTGACAAAATTCAGAAAATTACACAAGCAGTCAGTGCCTCCACACCAACCACAGGATGTGTGTTGTCCCCTTCTCTGAATAACATCCATCCAAACATCATGACACAATTTCATTCAATCGACCGTAGAAGCCTAGAAGACATGATACAACATCTGAAGTCATCTTCCTGCTGCTTGGATATAATACCAACACACTTTTTATAAAATTTTTCAAACTGCATGACCACTGATCTCTTACACATTGTGAACACATCCCTTCTCTCAGGTGTCTTCCCACAAGCCCTAAAACCTGCAGTTATTAAACCGCTCCTAAAGAAGGCTAGTTTAGACTCCGCTACAATGAACAATGATAGGCCAATATCACACCTCCCATTGTTAAGTAAAATAACTGAAAAAGCATTTTCCCAACAGCTGAACAACTTCTTGGCCGTAAATAACTGTTTTGATGTCTTCCAGTCAGGCTTTCGACAGCACCACAGAACTGAAACTGCTCTTATTCAGGTTCTCAACGACATCCACTTAAACACAGACAATGGCAGAATTTCAGTCTTAGTATTACTGGATCTCAGTGCTGCATTCGACACGGTCGACCATGCCATACTACTAGAAAGACTAAACATCTGGGTGGGACTCTCTGGCAGAGCACTTAACTGGTTTGAATCCTACTTGAAGGACCGAGAATACTTTGTGTCTGTAGCTAATTACACATCAGAGCTGACTAAAATGACATGTGGTGTTCCCCAAGGTTCAATACTGGGGCCTCTTCTGTTCAACATCTACATGCTTCCACTAGCTCAGATTATGGAAAACAACGAAGTGTGTTATCATAATTATGCAGACGACACATAAATCTACATAACTATATCACCAAGGGACTATAATCCCATACAAGGGCTGGGTAACTGCATTGAACAAATCAACAACTGGATGGGCCAGACTGTTCTTCCATTAAACAAAGATAAAACAGAAGTGATTGTTTTTGGTACCAAGGACGAACGATTGAAAATCATCGCTCAGCTTCAATCACTGATGTTAAAACCCACAAACAAGCCAGAAAT